TAATTTAAAATTTTTCTGGTTTAATCACGATGAGATTTTTTTTTCTAGATCCTGCATTAAATTTATTTTTTGACCTCCCTATTCGGGGAACAGACACAGTCTTTATAGATTGGACAGCACAAGTACTTCTATCATTTAAGCGGGTAGAACACAAGTCATCATGGCAGTTATTTGAGATTTGACTTACTAGTCACATGGAGCGCAGCGTCCTGGAGATGTTGTCCGACTGGAGTTCCGCTCCGACTCTGCTAGGGTGCAGGCCATCAGCACGAAAAAGCCTAGGACGCTCCCAGAAAAGATTCCAATTATTAACAAAGAGCAGTTTCTGTTCTTTACACCATGACAATAACCATTCATTTAAAGCAAAAAGTCTACCAAACCTTTCGTGTCCACGTCGATACGTGGGAAGAGGTCCTGACACGATGATCTTCGTCACGGGCGATGTGCGGCGCACCGTCTCAATGGGGCCCCTGAAGTCCCTCTTCAGTGTCTCCGTCTGCCGCAGCTTGGTGTCGTTAACTCCCGCGTGAAGCACGACCACTCCGGTGCTCTCGTCGCCCTTCAGGATCGCGGATATCTGCGCAGAAACATTGAGAACATGAGCACCAGGGAAGCAGTGAGTGTGCACTTTACCTTCAGCTAACATAGCACGGACGTGCTGGACGATGGAGTCTCCGATGATCACAGCGTCGCGTTCCGTCTCGCGGAGGGGAGCGAAGCGGTTCGCCCGGGGCCTGGCTCGCGTCTTCCGTGGCGGGTGCACCCAGGGTCCGTGGTGTCCCGGCGCGTGCTGGACGATGGAGTCTCCGATGATCACAGCGTCGCGTTCCGTCTCGCGGAGTGGAGCAAAGCGGTTCCAGGTGGAGATCTCGAAGACCGGAGGCAGCGAGGTCGTCGCCCGGGGCCTGGCTCGCGTCTTCCGTGGCGGGTGCACCCAGGGTCCGTGGTGTCCCGGCGCCGAGTGAAGGACATCTGAGAAGATCGCGTCCTGGGTGCACCGGTCCTGTGCAGAGAAACACATGGGGTAGAGGTGGTGGGAGAGTTAGCAGTGCGCTGTATACTTGCATCAGATATGTGAGCGTCAGCCTGGGATGTTTCCAGCGCGGCTCTCCGCTCTCTCAGCTGGGTCTGCCTCTCCACCAGGTTGCGGATCTGCTTCTCCATGGCCTCCAGCTCGAGCTGCATTCAATGTGTCCTCACCTGCACTCAAAAGGTAGACACACATCCGCCATTAAAGCAAGTAACCGTGAGTAAAACAATGGTAATGTGTGTGAATAGAGTATTAATAATGTAAGCGAGATTAGCGGCAACCATGCTAGCGGGCTATAAGCTAATAGCAGACTCGGGAAATCAAAAAAGAACTAGTGATAATGTGCTCTGATTGTTTTTGTTGTAGATTTATATTATATTATATTACGGGATATATTCGCACGTTATAGAAACGAAAATGATGGTGTATACAATTGATTTTAAGATAAAAAATTAAACGACAAAACACACAGCAGCAACAAACAGGAAGTGACTTCTGAGCTTCTGTTATGGGGCGAACGAGACGTGAGACGTGCAGATCCATAAGCAAAGCTTTATTCATAGACAAGCAGGGTGGAGCATCAGCAAACAGATATGTATAAGACAAGACAGAGTATTTCTAGGGCTGGCGTAGGTCATCGATCGGCGAACAGAATCCAGAGGGCTTGACAAGAAAGATAATCCAGAAACATGAGCAATAGTCCAGATGAGGTACAAACAGAGTCCGAGCGGCGAGACAAGGGTTAATCCAAGATACACAGGCAGGAATAAGGAAACAAGGCAACACAAAATTACTAGTCTAGACTAGTAACTAGGCTCCGTGAAGCAGCTATCGCTAGGTGAGTGATAAACGCAGAACAATACTAGAAACTAAACTGAAACATGGAATGGCTCGGTGAAGCAGCTAACACTGGGAGAGGGATAAATGCAGAACAATACTCGGCCACTTGAACAGGATCTGAGTGGGTGTTATATAATGTGTGTAATAGCTTTCAGGTGAGCGTGTGATTGGTTACAGCTGTGTGCAATCAGTGCAATGGATGATGGGAAATGTAGTCCGGAGTGACATGTAACAGTCTGTGTAGTGTGAGAGTCAATATGATGAAGAGGCGACCACTTGTGGCAGTCGGATGGAAGTCTATGGACACAATTCATGACAGCTGCATACTTCTTACTGTAGTCCTTGTCTTGAGTTGTAACAGAGTCGTCTTTTAATTAAACATTAATTAAGCATCCTCATTTAATTAATTATCCTGAATAGAAAATTTGTAATTAAATGTTGACTATATGATTCACCAAACCACTACTAAATGTAATTTCAGAGAATAGTACGATAGTAAGACTATAAATGCACACGCAGTCAGCAAGTCACAACAGTGCTGTGCAGGAGAAAGCATAGCTAACCAAGGCATGTGAATATTAATGCTGAAGATAAATGAGTTACAAACAATAGATAGACCTTCCACTGGACATCCATGTGGACAAACGAGATTTACCAGGAACTTCCTGAAGAACGCTGTTCCTTTATTATTCTCACTGTATGACCATTTAGTTCCCACATTTACAGACACAGATCTTCTGTGAGCCTTGTGTTCTGATTTCATATAGACCCAGTTCTCTTATTTCATCACTCTACATCACTTTAGCAGGAGCGCGAGTGTGATGCTCGAATATGATTGAATAAATGAGTCTACTTACGAGTGAGCGGGGAATGAAGTGAATGGATGAGATATCATTCGTAGTCTGTGTGTTTTAATAATAATAATAAAGTTTGAATGCATTTAAATGTGAAGTGTAAACAGGACCACAGTTTCAGTTGATTGCATCTGAGACACAATCACAATTCAGTGCATCTGACTAACAATAACTGACACTATCATGTTTCAGCACCTAAATCCTGGTTTATACTCACTTATTTACAAAGACCATTTTTCTTGTGCATATGGTGTTTTCCCAGTAAAATTATCAACTGTACTATATACAGTTTATAGTTTCTTGTTTATATAATACATGATTAATTATTTTAGCATTTATAGTATCTTTATTTTAATTATTTTTTTTGTCTTTAACATAAAAGATACATGAAAGTTGCCAAGGCTTTAGACTGGATCTGTTACTCATGAAGTTGCTGCTGATCTGAGCTGTAGATCCTGAACTGAGAGACTGAAGAGTGTCATTGTTCTCTACAGGTTGAGGGATTGTGGAGTCACAGAGGAAGGTTGTGCTGCTCTGGCTTCAGCTCTGAGATCAAACCCCTCACACCTGAGAGATCTGAGTCTGTCTAGAAATAAACTAAGAGCGTCAGGAGTGAAGCGGCTCTCTGATCTACTGAAGGATCCTCGCTGTAAACTGGAGAAACTCTGGTAAATCATCTCTCTGGATCAAACACACACACTGGTACTCACAAATAAATATGTACAAATAGTTTATAGTTGTAGTTCTGACAAGGATGTAGAATCATCTGTAGAGTTTTATCCACGTCAGAAAATGTCCCAAGTGTAAACAGAGATGAACCTTTAGTACATGTTTGTTAGTTAATGTTTTGATGGATTAGTTTTGATTAGTACATACCTGAACACATCATTAGTTCATAATAAAGTCATATTTAATTTAGGTATTAGTACATTAGATACATTAGTATTAGGTATTACGTAAAAGTTCTTATTGTTTTTATTGCTACTTATTACACATTGCTAATTTTCTGGAGTGGCAACCATATTTAAATCACTCTGATAAACTACAGATAATTTTTAAATTTACTTAAGTAAAGTAAAAACACTTCACTACTGTCTGCCTCTGGGGAAAAAAATAATTTTTCAAACAAAATATGAGGACAGGAGAAGGCTCATTAATATTCACAAGAAAAGTGATTTGATAAAGGCTCACACTCAGCTATGTAGGAAATATGTTTCCTTGTTTCAGTATGTTTTCACATCATACAGATGTGTTGAAGATTTTAGGGTTTTCATGTAAAGAAAAAAAAAACATACTTTTTTATGATATTGAAATGAACTGTCAATCAGAAGCGGGTCTGAACCTTAGACTGGATCTGTTAATCGTGACGTTGCTGCTGATCTGAGCTGTAGATCCTGAACTGAGAGACTGAAGAGTGTCATTGTTCTCTACAGGTTGAGTAAGTGTGGAGTCACAGATGAAGGTTGTGCTGCTCTGGCTTCAGCTCTGAGATCAAACCCCTCACACCTGAGAGACCTGAGTCTGTCTGGAAATAAATTAGGAGCGTCAGGAGTGAAGCTGCTCTCTGATCTGAAGGATGATCCACATTATAAACTGAAGACACTTGAGTGAGTAGTGAAGATTAAAAATGTTAAAGTTAATATAGTTTCTTCTTCTTAGGTTACTTTCTTGGTAGTTGTGACTAACATGTTTAATAAGAGTTTGATTCGGTTTATAGTTTAGTATCTTGATGTTTATTTTTTATATATATATATATTTATTTAAAATAATAATTATGCACGCATTGTATAGTCATTGTTTTTTATATCTGAAATTATGAAATAAAATATTTTGAGACAATGTCAATTTTAATGGAAAGATGGTAACTATTTATAATTACTTTAATTGTCATAAAACTGTGACAGAAAGAGAACAAAAATTATGGATAAGGGTCAAGGGTCATCATTTATGGTGGTTTGGATGCAGAATCAGAATCTGAATGCAAAAAGAGCTTTACCTGATATCGATCAAGGCCTGTAGGCCAACATGTGTATACATCGGAGGTCTGCTAATTGTCACAAATTTTGCCCAGTGTGTGAAGTTGTAATCTGCTGATTGGTCAGTTTGAATGTCTCACATTTGGTTTTTAGTCACATGGTCAAGGAAGGGATAAAAGAAGATTGCAACTGTTGCTCTTTCTCTTTCCTTTGCTACTTCTTTTGCTTTGCTTTTTTCCTTTGCTGCCTCTCTCTTCTTGGGGCTCTGCCCTCTCTCTCTCTCTCTCTCTCTCTCTCTCAGGTAATATTTACATACATGCTGGGTACAATTAATTGTTCATGTTTTACTATCCTTCATCTATTTTGTAACCAATTCAAGTGTAACCATAACAAAATATTGTTATTAAACCATTTCAATGATTAATTATCTGCGAACTAGTCTTGATTCAAGGTTAATATTAAAGTGCTACCTATTGCAATACAATAGTCTTACAATATCAACGCTCTCCCACATATTTAGCTATTCTAACTGCGCTTATTTCTGTAAGCTCCACCCGTTGGCCCAAGGAAGGATGTCCAACAGCCTGGTTGAAGTTATTCTGCGTGTACGTCTTTTCTGGCGCTTCTGTAACAATCACCTTTATTTATTAAAATTTGGTTTCTAATTTTAATTCTGACTCCGTTTATAATTTAATCTGACTCCAACTTTAAATGACTCTTCAAATTTACAGTATTCCTGCTTTAATAGCTGATCCTAAGATTAGTTGTATTTTAATTTAGATATTTGATTTTTCTGGGTATCCCACACTTTAAATTATTCGTTCATCAAGGACCCAATGCCGCTCAGAGATACGCACCCCGGGTTTGCGGTAAACTCATGGACGCAAACTAGCCAGTCTGATCTTAGTCAGAGGGTGTAATAAGTTAGCTAATACCTTTTTGTCGGTTGCCTACTGCTCACTCGTACAAAAAGCGTACTTGATTTAGCCACTTCTATACATCTTGCTAAGTCAGTGATAGACAGAAATCGGATGAAGGGCCTACTGATCCTTTCATTCACGCACCTCCAGTTTGTAATATCCTGGACACAGATTTACGGTAGCATTAGCATTCTATGATTTCCTGGTCATAATTAATTCAGGAGAATCCAGATTAAATGAAAATGTTACATTTATTTTGCCAGGAAGGATTAAACATCAATTTGATCAACAGAAAATACAAAACACAATTTAAAGCATAGTAAAAAAACAATTTCAAAGAGTCAGCATACCTGGCAAACAGAGAGAGACACACAGCAATTGTGTGGGAAGTTCTGAATACAGATTGGTTTTCCAAATCCCTTTAAATACCCCAAGTCTTGACAAAAGGA